AACTTAACTAAACTAAACTAACTAATAACCTAATACTAATCATACATANCATACATACTACTATATATATATATATATATATATATATATAGTATATATATATAGTATATATATATATATCTATATATATATATATATATACATATTCATATGTATTTATTTATACACATGCCGATAGAACAGTCCAGGTGAAGATAAGAAGGTCTGCAGTTCTCCGAACCGCGGGGGTATACCGAGGAAAAGACGAGGCCCATGAAGGAACGCTGTGTCCGATAAAAGGGTTATTTCGTTATGTCACTGTATTTCCTGCTATCGCGAGAAAAAAGGAGACTGGCTTGCAGTGCATTGTGCTAACGCACGCATCAAAATTTGCACTTACCTTCATGCATAGAACAAAATCAGTTTCTGCATACTATACACAATGCGCCACGTGGAAGTGACGAATGGATTACTTGCGACACTGACAATCCACTTTCAATAAATAGTACATATACGCACTCAGGCAACGACTAGCACATCACTTCAACCGAAGGCAACGATATTTCACATACCCACGTTTCACAATGCGTCCATGCTTGTTGCGGAAGGATATCTCCGTGAGCTGGTCGATTATGATGGCCATTGGACCTATGTCCGCGATGCCTACTGTTGTGGTGATTACGTAGCTATGGGGCTGGGCCTGCTGGCACACATGGCTGATCTGATTGGCTCTGTATTTTTGTTGTTGTTGAGTAGAATGAAAATTGTGCATTTGTAAAAAGCGATGATATTGACAGGTTGATCGCTAAGTCATAGTTTGTCCAGATAAGATGTGCCAATGCTATCTGCTGTCGATGGGTTGATTAGCATATGGGGCTGCGCCTTGAGACATAGGTAACTGGCTTGTGCTACATCCGCGGAGGACGAAGGTCAACGTCGGTAATCAGGGATTTGCCACATAGCTCTACTTCGAAGTAAATGAAGATAGTTGTGCTACTCGTCATGCGTGTAGTGCAGTATATATGTTACCGTACGCGTACGAGCGATTGTTTTATGAGCAAGAAGCAATTAACACTGTGAATTTACAAATATCTACAGGCCAATGATTGCTGATCGATCCATCTCTCGACAAAACAATATTCTAAAGTCTAAACAGACAGAAAATTTCAGGTAATAACAGTTTTGCTCGGATGTGATGCTGATCTTGTAAGCTGTGAGGTGAACTACACACCTTCTCATATCTCGGGCTATGTTGCGGTTTTTGGGGGACCGCGAATCGGTGAAATGATTATGCAGTCGCTTGAGGAAGAAGGCGACGTGTTGTTTCACTTTGCCCTTGTTGATCTAATTTAGTGAATAGGATCACAAGAAGCAGGGTAAGCCAATAGGAATCCACTCTAATTAGGCGAGCGCCCCACGTGTATAACACGCATGAGATCCGACAACAAGGACCACACGAGCATTTACAGACCTACGTGACAAGATCGCAATAACAAATGGTATGACAATGAGACAAAAAGATGAATAGCCAAATCAACACTCAATGAACTAAAAATATGATCTCGAACCTTTAATGCGACCATTGGAGTAATAGAAGACCGGACTCGACACACGCCGCAAAGTGATAAACCTTATAAAAACATATACTGATATACACTTAAAGAAGGTGATACAGATGAAACATTTAGCTATAGGAGTTGACTGACTCCCAGACAAAAAAGTCAAAAGCTGGTGGGCTACACAAAAGACTTCTTTATATCTTCAATTTGAACAGCACATACACAAAGAATGGACTGCTGCACTGGTCCAGCGCCATATACACATACACGCCAAGACATACCGTAGGCTTGGTCCAGAATACCTTAGCCATATACATATACACGCCAAGACATACCGTAGGCTTAGTCCAGAAGATCTTAGCCATATACACATACACGCCAAGACATACCGTAGGCTTGGTCCAGAAGACCTTAGCCATATACACATACCCGCCAAGAAATACCGCAGGCTTAGTCCAGAAGACCTTAGCCACATACAGATACACGCCAAGACATACCGTAGACTTAGTCCAGAAGACCTTAGCCGTATACACATACACGCCAAGACACACCGTAGGCTTGGTCCAAAGACCATAGCCATATACACATACACGCCAAGATATACCGTAGGCTTAGTCCAGAAGACCTTAGCCATATACACATACACGCCAAGACGTACCGTAGGCTTGGTTCAGAAGGCCTTAGCCATATACACATACACACCTAGACATACCGTAGGCTTGGTCCAGAAGGCCTTAGCCACCTCTTTGATTGTATGCGACGAGATTTTCCTCCTGTGCGCATTCGCGGCACAGTTGCACTGGGCGCTCCTATCGTCCTGTTGCTGGTCTCCGCTTATCTGACCATCGACACTGGCTGCCATTTCCCCTGGGCTAGTTGTGTTGTGAGGGGTTCGTTCCTGTTTGTCGTTGCCATTCCGTAGATCGTGGGCCGGCTCTCGGTGCCTAAAATGACTGCTCTCACTGTCTGTAATAACATTACTGCTTTCGCTCTGTTGTATATCCTCAATGTGGGCTTGCACGTCGTCTGGCGTGGGTTTAATACCTACATTCTCGTCAGTGCGCGGTATCGACTCATTCTCAACACCCAACTCGGACCCTGGCGGCCTACATACTGCTCTCCTTTCCGAAACATCAGCAGCTCGATCGCTGCATCTATTTGAGCCATTACGAGGGTCTATAACCCGATGGACAGGTGATTTGGGGCTAGTACCAGGTTGTGTCCGATGATAAGACTCTGCATCATCACTTTCAGCATCGACGCTAGCGACCATGTCCTGCAGTTTGACATAGCCCGCGCGAGTAGCGTCCTCAACCTTAGTGATGATGGCCGCCATTTCTTCGCCTAAACCCGCATTCGGATCGTCAGGCGTCGCCTCTAAATAGGCTATATTCTGACCCCTCTGAACACCCGCATCTTGCTCAATCGCTCGCGCGCTTGTCGATTTATCAGCGTGGTCCACCTTCGGTGAAGCCTCGTGTGCCGATTCAGCACACGATTGTCGTGCAACGGTTTCCGAGAACGAGGTGGGCGGAGTTCCGTTTGCTTCGATCGAGGTTCTTATTTGTGCACTGCCATTTCTCTCAGACACGTCTGCAGATACACCCTGCGCGTCTTCAGCCATGCATGAGTCATCACTTTCTCCCAGACACATACCCATGCGTGGGATAGCCGACTGCGTTCTGCTAACCCCGCATTCCGGGGTAGAGTCTTGCTCAACGATGTCAGTCTCGGTGTTCTGAACCACGGCCGATCTGGTTCGTTCTATAGCCGTTCGCGCATACTCAGCCCCCACACTCACAAACCCAGTCCTCAAGTGTGTACCTCCCATCTCCGTCGGGGACCTCTCGAAGAGCGTATCCGCCACTCTGTCCTGTATGGTTTCCAGATCGCCTTCACCGCAATTGCACAGTCCAACGGATTCGTTAGTAGGCACGAGGTGTTGTACATCGGGTGGGTCAGAGATCTCGATGGTCAGCTGCGCATACGGCCGATGTAGTGTGTCACCGTCACCGGCGCCAATGATCCGAAGATCGAGTGCAGATATGTCCTCGTACGGTATCTGTATGAAAGCAAAGATAATTGAATGTAGCAACAGAGTAAGCGGGTGAAATACTGGGTGTGTCAATTTAAAGGTCGCGGGACATGAACTCAGTTCTTATCTGCTATGTACGAAGGGTTTAAACACATATTTTCGTGCATGGAGGTATACACATGACTGAGACACGGGACTGATGGTTTATGGTAGGACTCCAGTGAGCAATGAATAAAGCCATAAAAGTGCTCCTGGTCTATTTAACACCATTGGTATGAATCCCCCCCCCCCTCATCTCCACCAAGCACATGTGTAGAGAAAAACTATGAAAAAAACTATACTGTACCAGGGGTTTAATTGGGTCCTGGATGGCTCCCGAGGAATGATCCAGATCGTCTTTGGTAGCTCGAAACTCAATCAATAACAACTATTAAATAAAATAAGTGAGTACGAAACGACTAAATACATACTAGGCTAAGTGTTTTCATCAACAACGCACCGACACCATGGCAGCCGGGAAGTGGGATCCGTTTTCGAACAGATGCCAGCTGATATAATGCACCTCTCTTTGCACGAGAGGTTCGGGACAATTCTCCATGGGATCAGACTCGTTGCTCTCATGTTTGACAGACGCTTCTTCGTTATCATCTAGGTCACTCTCTATGGTCACCTCGGCTGCCTTCCGGGGTGCTCTTGCGGTTCCATCCGAATCCTCTAGTAGACTGTATACCACCATGTCGGTGTAGGCTTGTTTAATCTGGATATAAGTAATTGCCTGAGGGATTACTACGGCATCTACAGTCAATCATACCTATGCACTATCAGTGCATGTCAACCATACCTATGTGCTATCAGTGTAATATTTCTGTCGGTGCAGGCTTGTTTGATCTGGGTATAAGTAGTTGCCCGAGAGACTATAATGATATCTACAGTCAACCATACCTATGTATTGTCAGTGCAATATATCTGTTTTTAATCTGGGTAAAAGTAATTGCCTGAGAGATTACAATGACATCTACAGTCAACCATACCTATGTACTATCAGTGCAATACATCTGTCGGTGTAGGCTTGTTTAATCCGGGTAAAAGTGATTGCCTGAGAGATTACAATGATATCTACAGTCAGCTATACCCATGTACTGTCACTGCAATATATTTCATACTGTACATGATGTTGTACAATTAAGGCAGGAACCTCTTGAATTGAATATTGTACACCAGTTAGATTAACAAAGACAGACAACCTAATACTATCATACTCGCACCCTTTTTACCGTGTTCAGGAAGGGGTCTGGGTAGTTCAGAATAAAATGTGATGCATATCACTATGTAAATGCATGATTTGCGAATAACTCACAATGGTATACAAATCAATCGCTTCGACGCCACATCTTATAACCGAAATCTACAGAATACAATCCAGCTCTCAATTATCGCGAACTGGCCTGGAGTACTTGTACTGAGTATTCACTCGAAAGCAATCACCTAAAACACAAAAGGGTCTTAAGTCTCGTCCGATCATGCAAGCATTGCAGTATCAGAACAGCCTCCAGAGGTCCCCATACCGTTGTCGAACCCATTTGGAAACTCGTGACGGGCACCTCCATATGAATACCAGTGACACCCTGCTCAACCAGTGATTCAGACAAATCATCGTCACTCGGATAGTCTGGGCTCTCGACATGCTTCACAGGCGGGTTGTGAAAGCGCATTTTCGACATTGTTCACACAGTCTGTCATATCATGCATGAACATTGGATTTGATCTGTATTTGATATCTTGTACGCCCTGAATGGTCAAAATAGTGTGACACGGAATCAAGTACTGCTGGTACCATAACAGGTTCAGATGTTGGTTGGGAGTGGGGTATAACTATGGAGACGTCAAGAATTGAAGTGTGTCTACATGGCAGAACAATAGCGCAGCTAAACAGATACAATTCTGCCAGTCTTCTTTATGGGCGTACAATCACATTTCCATACACAAGCATACATATGCATTCGCTTCATGCGTACCCGACTACAGACCGTTGAAACTAAGAAGCTACAAAATGGATTAAACAATTATGCGCAAAAGGGAGCTACAGCTGTCATTCATATCAATGAAATTACAATCGTAGTAGCACGAGCATGGGTATTACACACACACACACACACACACACACACACGCACACATACATACATAATAATATATATATACATACATACAATAATATATATATATATACTA